CGGTCTCTCCCCCGGTGGTGCCCGCCGTGCCCGCCCGCCTCCACGCTCTCCAATGCCGCCTCACTACTAACCCCGCTCTCTCCTCTGGCCCCATTCTCACAGTGTAGCGCGCTACACGATACTACACGGCCAATTTTCCTCCCGACTAGCCTCACCCCGGGTCCCCCGCCGCGTCCCCCGCCGGGTCCCCCGCCGCCAGGGCCAGGCTCGGCCACTTTGGGCCAGATTGTGGCGTGGACCGGGACGGGGCCGGCCTCCATCCCGGCGAGCAGGGCTTCACAGGTCACTGCCGCGGAATCAATGTGCTCGCCTGGTTCCTGCTGCTGCTGCTGCTGCTGCTGCTGCTGCCTCTCCAGAGTTTCTTGGCAAAGGGCGGCCCGAATTTACCCCGCCCCTTTAACGCTGCTCTTTACGGCGCGTTCCTGCGGCCTCCTCAGCGAGGACGCCGTTCGGGGCCGTTCACATGAAAGGCGAGGAGGACGAGGACCTGAGAGGGGCTGGGAGGAGGAGGGGGCAGACACGTTACGTTACCGGGCGTCAGCTCGGCTGGATTACCGCCGCATAAAAGCGTCGTACAGCGTCGTGTTTTTACTCGGCCTGGGACGGGACGCGGCCCGGCTTGCGGGGACGGGGGCAGTTACCGGAGGAAAAGATAAAAAACAGGGGAAAGGGAGGAAATGGGGGGGAGGGGGATGATGAGGTCCGCTGGGCCCCGTGCGCGGGGTACGGGACGGGCCGGCCTCTCAAAAGAGCTCAGGCCTAAAAATGATGCTCCCCCCCTCTCTCTCTCTCTCTCTCCACCTCTGAGGGCCGGCAAATCTGCCTGATGGGTGGGATAACGAGATGAGCGAGAGGATCGTGCAGAGCGGAACACGCGCGGGCCGAGAGCGGCGTGAGCGCGGCGAGAGTTAGTTGGAAATCCGCCCCGGGGGAGGAATCGGACTCAGACCGTAATGAAACGAGCAAGGTCGCGGTAGAGGTGCTTTTCGTTGCTGTGCTGTCCGAGGAGGAGGAGGAGGAGGAGGAGGAGCAGGGAGGAGGACCTCGGCCAGGGGGTACTATATTGTTGGCTAGCCGCGCGCTGGCCTGGGCTACCCAGTCTCAACCGCGGCAGAGGCGTCGTTCTGCGAGCCATCTCTCAAGGCACCTTAACAACGGCCTCCACCCCACGGCGGGCCCCAGGCCGAGGCCCCAGGCCCCGAGGCCCCCAAACGGCCTCCTCCTAAGCGACCACAGGCTACAATTCATACCAGGGCCCTCGGCTGCCCGCCCGCGGCCAGGAGTCGCCCTCTGCCCCCACGCGCTACGCCCGGAGGAGCCTTGGGGAAGGGTTGCTTTAAATTCGCTGTATGGTGCGGCAGTGGAATTAATTTCCCTCGAGGACCTGGTGGAGGAAACAATGTCGTCCGCAAGGGCATCAGGCAGGAGCGGGGACTGGGCTGGAGATTAGAAGACTTAAAACGCTCCGCTCCAACGGGGAGCATCCCCGGCCTCGAGTGTAATAGACTTACAACTGCTTAAAACTCGCCACGCCGATCAAAAACCCTCCATCCAAAAGGTTCAACATTCTAGTCACTGATAATTCCTTGCGAAGGATTAGAATTTGCCTGCTTTGTAAGCCTACGAAGATATTTCTTTGCAATATTGCAAACGATCATCTTCGGATTATAAAGAAAATCGGTTCGCAATCACAAAGCGGACACAATTGTTTTCAACGTACAGTAACAAAATTAACAGTGCCAATGTCCGACAAAAGAAGAAAACACACATGTGCGTTTTCTGCGAGTTTTTCTGTAAGTAGCGAGCACTCCGCTGGCAAACCCCGTTCGGCGGGGGCTGGTCCTGTTTGGCCTTCCGACCTGCCGGTGGTGGCCTTTCGCCGCTGGATGGGAAGGAGAAGGAGAGACAGGAAGAGCAGCCATCGGCCCGGGCCGCCCGCTCAATGGCGTGTCCTCGGGACGTCCCAGGTGGGTCCAAGTGCCGAGGTGGAGGGGTGGCGGCAGCATTCAGACGGGGGGTTATTGCGCAAAACTGGCCGGCTATCGCACACTCCCAAGCAGCCGCGGTGGACGTGCTGGGCTGCATATGCATTTAGTGGCGTAATGAATTTTAATTTGAACTTTGTAAGTGTGCAGCCCGTGCATCCTCCCCCCCCCCCTCTCTCTCTCCCCCGCACTGTGGTTTGTGCGATACGATGCGGGCGGGCGGGCGAGGTCGGAATAAAGTAAAGAGAGCCGAGATCTTTATCCCGCCGGCTACGGGCGTCTGTTTGCCCTCTGCTGGTCTGCTGGCCCGGCCCCGGCCCCGGCCGCCGCGGTCCACCCCGCCCAGCGGCCCCGGCCGAGGCCCCGGCCGCGCTCTCACTTTAGGGCACAACCCTCCGCCCCGATCCGATCGGCCGTGCCCACGCTGCGCCGGGGCTGCGCCTGGGCTGCGCCCCCCGCGGCCGGGGCGGATCAGATGTATCGAGGCGGTGTGTGGCAGCGGACATGGAACTGCTCTCTCGCCACTCCAGCATCGCTCGGGGGCGCTCGGCCCACACGGCCTCGGGCCGCGACCTGGAGGTTGTCTGCCTGTCGACCTCACCGGGACCTCCCTCGTCGAGCGAGACCTCTTGGTCGTATCGGTCCGGCAAGCGACCTGTGATGAGTAATGCAGCATCCCCACACACGGACGGAAATAACCGTTCTTCTAGTCACCCGACCACATAACTTGCCAGCACAGATTCATATCACTCATATTCCTTGCACACAAAACTTCTTTAGAAGGGAATAACGGTGGTCATTTTTTTTTTGCTGGGGCTACATTTTTAACGCTACTTTTAACACGAAATAACTGAAACAACTCTGCTCGCTTGTTTTCTTGTGGCATCGCGGATGCATGAGAGTCTTTTTATTCTAAAAGTGAAATGGTTGACCAAAGTGCTGCGCAGGCGCCGTCCAGGGGAAAGAGACCGTCTGGCTTGCTGCGGAGGTTCCCGCCCGCAACGGACGTGAGCACGGCCCTAAACACCATCCCTCCCGGTTAGAGGCGCTGCGCCGAGCTCTATACGCGCCGCCCTAGGGCTTGCGGTGCACAAGCACGTTCATATACGGCCGCCTCGTGGCGAGGCGGGGCGGGGCGGGGTGCCGCTGCCGCCTGCGTGTCAGTGTGTCGCAGTGGTGTTGCTACTCGGAGCCCGCTCCCACCTCGGCTCCCGCCTCCCGCTCCGCTCTAACGTGCCTCGCCCTCGCCCGATCAGACCCGGCCTTCGTAGCTCCGGGTGTTTCATCAAAGGCAATA